CCTGGAGATAAGTCTTCGACCCGTCCTGGTGAATGGGAGCATCCGTCCCTTCGAAAAAGCCGCCCGGCTTCGCCTGTTCGATGGGCCCAATCTTCGACCCCTGTTCTTGCGTTCCCGACGGACCGGCCATTTGGCCTTGCGAGCCTCATCAACCTCGGTCGCCCGTTTGCGACCCACCGAGCGGTTGTCTTGCAGATGTTGATAGTCCTCCTCGCCCGAGGAGTCGATAATCTCGTAACCGGTTTCCTACTGAGAAGTCGACTCTTTTGACGTCAACATCTGAGCGGCCCTCATCTTCGCAATCATCGCCAAACGGTCCATCTTGGCAGTCGATTCTCTGGATTTTGACCCTTGTTTGGAACTGGTAGCGGCTTGTTTCCCTTTTAACTTAGCAGCAGTTCTCCTTTCCCCCGTGTCGGTGGCCACGCCTCTCAGATTGCCCAAAGGATATAAGGCTGTGAAGAATAAGACGGTTACGGTAATCGGTTTCTATAATTCGTCGACTGAATGGACTTTAGAAAGGGAAATGAGCAGAGGTACTCACTAGGAAGACACGAAATCTCGACGTTTTCCGTGCAAAGTCCAGCTTTGAATAAGTTAGAATCCTCCACTAGTTTCGGTCTGACTCATTCGTCTTCCTTCTTGCTCTTCAATAGCTCGGTCAACTAGAGAACGAACGACTCTCACAACTCGAGAACAAATGCAGGGTTGGCTGTAACAATGAACTTGACCTGTTAGGCTGAACAAAAATAACCAAAAATTAAGAATGACGAACGAGAAGAAAGAAAACATAAACTCATAAATTTTTGCGACAAATCTCGTCGGGACAGTAAAAAATTCAGAGGCTCCCAGATCATTTGGGGATTTTGGCGTCCGCCAACCACGTCCGACCCTAAACCAAGAAGACCTATATTTACTAATCGTCTCCGGTACTTTAGTGATAAGATCCCTGAACCTTGGGTCACGAACGAATATAGAGAACTGTCCGGATTTCTTCCTCGTCTCTTTCATTAAGAAGAATGTGCGTATGTCATCAGGGGTTGGCATCTCCTAACCTTGTTGGCTAAATAGTACGAGCAGGCTGATGATCTTCAGCCAGGCAATCGGAGAAACATGACTAAAACCGACTCTCCAATCTCTCAAATATTCTGTTAGGATTCGAGGAAGGGGAAAACGAACCCCGAAGGCAATCGAACGCTCAAACACGCCAACATAGCCGGGAGGCGGACAGTGGACCCGCTCCCTGTTGTAAGGGGCGAACATCTTAGTATCACGAGGCAGCCTGATGGACGTCCGAATTTTGACCACTTTATCGTCCGTCATGTCGCTGGAAATATGATCCAACCCAAAAATACTCGTCGTCCGCCACTCGTGGTACGGACAGCGCCAGTAGCCATTAGGAATGGATATGATAGCTTGCTCGATTGGTGATCCTCATCCGGACTCTCCGTCTGAAGGGGCAATCTCATCCTACCCGTCGTGTCGCCTTGTAAGGCCTCCTCATATTGTTCCTCATTGTAGCTCTTGGACGAAGACGAAGCCTCGGCACTCATAATGATAGAGAAAGAGGAGAGAAGGAAAGGAAAAGAAGAGAGAATTACCTTCCCAACAGACAACGAAATGAAAATCAGAGAGGAACCGAACGAGTGCACGAGCTAATCAATCTTGAAGTAAGGAGGATTTTGAATAAGTTGAAACAGAAATATCAATTGAGAAGATTTCGAAAAGGGAATAGCAGTATTTATACTATCCAAAAGGGGAATGAAAAGACATAATGATTTATGCGCGAGACAACGTGTCAGAGAAACGATTCGCATACGCCATCAATAAAGGAATTGCCAGAGAGAGGGCGACGCGTGTGAAGTTGCAGTTATTGTTGGGACCCCTGATAAATGAGACACGCCTTTTGTAGAGAAGATAGCCGTTACAGGACCGACGCGCCGATTGGTAGGTAATGGCGGTCAGTTATGAGAACGAGCGGATGAGAGTTTGTTCGGTCCATCCTGAGAAGCAGATCCAGGCATCACGACTGGAGATCATACCTCACGTGATACCCGAATCAGGGGGCCTTTGTTGGTGGCATAGACCGAACAACCCGATCTTATCCCCACGACGAAACGAACGGACCGACTAAAAACAAGTCGGATAGGCTGAGGGACGAGTGCAGGCTCAAGTGGGAAATTTATCCTCATCATTACCAAAATCGGCAGTACCAGGCGCATTTAATGCGAAAGTGTCCCCAAATCACCCATCCGATGGTGCGGGAAAAGCTAAGACACGTGGCGCAATCCGGACGGGCCATTGATATTGGAATTAGATTGCATAGTACAATTAGAATTTAATATGGAATTACTAATATCTTAAAATATCTTGTAAAAGAAATGTAGGAAAATCCCCAAGAGGGAAATGTAAACAGTCCCTAAACTTCCTATATAAGGAGGAGGAGAACAACATTAAATGCAATGAGTAAATGCTCTCATCAATTACTACATAATCACGAACAGAACTATCATTCGTTCCATACTCAGAACCGAATATCACACACGCACCTTTTGTTCGTGCAGACCGAACCAAGCACACATCCTAGTGTGTAGTTCGAACACATTGTTGGTCATTTTAAGACATCAACAACGTCTAAGCAAAATGTATCTGACAAGTTGCTTTAGTTATCGTATTGGCACTGTACTTCGGGAACTGCCGTGCCACCTAATCTGTAGTAGCCATTATCTTGGCCATGAAACTATCGTAAATTATCCCACGCCTCTTCTAGCCATCCAACCAAGATTGCATCAAAAAATCCATGTCGCACCCCATCCTCTCAAACGGCCCGTTCGTTCCCCAAAACCGATCTAGCAGTAGGTGTCGTGGAACCACATCGAACTCGATAACAATCTTAACCAAACCCAAATGCTTCACTAACTTCGTGAATCGCTAGCAACAAACATCCTTGAAGTTGTTCCTTGGAAGAATACTCGAAAGATCCAACTGGTTAAAGTTGTAAATTGGTAGTAAAGACAAGTGAATTTGCAGGTGGTAGTAAGAAAAAAAAAAAAATACAAAGAACTTCAAGTATGAGCATATTGGTCAACC